ACCTGGGCCCCCTCACGTGGCTGATGCCCAGTGGGTGCTCAGTAATAGCCATTTTAGGGGGCACAGAGGAAGTGAGCCCCTACTCATTCCTGCCATGTATCTGGATCATGCTTGTTATTTTTTCACTTATAATTTTATTTAATCCTGACACCTTGATCTCAGAGAACCCCCCACATTAACTGAGAACATGTGAATAGGATGCATACCCATCATTCCTAAAGGGAGGTTGGGGCCCAGTGAAGATGTGTGATTTGTTCAAGCTCTGTTCTTTGAATTTCACATCCAGCCTGTTGTCAGCAACACTGCTTGGGGTTGTGGCAGCCAAGCCATGCCACCTCCAAGCCATGTTGTTACTTGCTATAAAACTACTAGAGTTAATTTTTAAGTTGATAGTTTTGTATGGCCCACAAATGATGTTATAAATATCCAAGTGGCTCTTGGCAGAAAAAAGGTTCCCCACCCCTGCTCTAAGCAGTGGCAGACCTCACAGGTGGTGCCTCTCCAGCCTCTCCCATGTTTGCCTGAACAAACCACACCCCTCTGCCCAGTGGCTGGGGACTTGTGGCAGGTTCAAGGACAGGTGGTGTTTGGGAGTGGAATGCAGATCCTTTTGGAGAGAGAGAGAGTGCTCCTCTATTTTTTGAGGGTTATTACTTCAAAGTGAAAATAGTTTAATTTTTTTCCTGATATTAAAAATGATAAATACTATATAGAGAATCCAAGCTATACAGATATGCATAAAAAAGAGGCAACCACATGTTAGCATTTTGATGAAGTCCTTCTGTCTGTAGGTATGTAAGCATAGCACAGTACCTGTTTCCCTTCATGGAATGGCATCTAGCAGGGATTTTTCAAGCAGATGGCTGTAGAGATGTGTGGGCCCTTTAATGTCCACCCAGGGGTGTCTTTGTTTCTAAGCAAGCTTCTCTTGGCGGACATTTAGATGTGAGGTTCTGCTAAACTAACATTTATTGAGCATCTTTATACATTTTTGCTAACGTGACCATTTGACCTTCTTGGCATGTATTTCCAGCAGTGGAATTATGGGATCTAAGGGCATGCCCATTGAAAGGTTGTGCCAAATGCATGGCCACCAGTAGAGTTTGAAAGTCTGGCAAGAAACCCATCAGCTTAGAGAGGGAGCAGCTCACAGAACATGTCTGTGCATTGCTTGCAGCCCCTGGAAGGGAGTCTGTGCCGATCCATTTGTTTGAGTCAGCTCTCCACAATGTGTTCCTGGACGTGAATAATATGACTGTTTCAACACATTCAGAGGAAGTTGAAACACCCTCCATTTCATGAATAGAGATACTCAGTGAATCAAACAGCTCTTTTCCAAGAGCAACAAGCAGAGATTTTAACCCCTGCACAGACTCCTGTTCAGACCCTGCCCGGGGCCTGGGCCGAGCGCGGATCTCAGGTTCTGTTGGAGGCACTGCCTCTTCAGGAGGAAGTGAGGGGCCTGGCTTGGGCCGCGTGAGACCAGAGCAATGCAGCCAGAAGCCAGCTGTGGGCAAGGAATGCAGAGGCATCGGGCTTACTAGTTAGGGAACAGGACTGGGTGTGAGGGGACACTGCCTTCGCTACGGGAAGGGATACAGTGCAAATGGGCATGAGTGAGCCATCTCTCTCCATCTGGCCAGAGGAAGGGTGGGCTGGATGCACAGTGGCGATGAGTCATCACGAGGGCTTGGAGTCAGCGCCGAGCTACATGGGAAGTGGGGTGATTTCACATTCTGGAGACTTCATTTATAAACGCCGTACAATTTCTTTGGAACATTGTTCTACTTGGAGCTTAACTTGATGGACCTTCAGTTTGGGGGCTCTGTTCTATTCTCAGCAACGTCTTTGCAGTTTGTTTACAGAATATAGGTAGTGTGACCAGGTGACAGAAGGGAAATAGAACATGAAAATGAGAAAGATCTTTAGCAGACAGACCTGTGTTTGCAACCCCAGCTCTGTGGTTGAGTAGCGTCCACTTTGGACAGACTCAGTGACCCCAAGCATCACTTCCCATGTCTGTGAAACAGAAGGTGCTGTAGATTCTACCTCGAAGGCTCCTGGATGGATTGGCTGCTGCAGCCTGTGACCAGAGCACTGGCACTTTGTGCTGTGCCAGGCAAACGGCAGGTATTGGGCCAGTGCTGGCTCTCCTTTCCTGCAGCCCTTTCCACTGGCATCAGGACCAGTGAGTGAGGGATGACCAGTGAGCCTGGAGGTGTTTGTAGGAAGAGAGGTTGGTCGACATTAGAGTCCTTGAGTTGGGGAGCAGAAGGGGGCTTCCTTGGGGTCCTAAGACATGTGGAGCCTGGCGAGTCCCAAGCCTGCCGCTCCCCTGTGTTCTACATCATGGCTCCGGCACTCTGGGACCGTGATCTCAGAGTCTGACAAGAACCTGACAGGAATGTGTTCGTAAGGATCAGATTCCTTCTCCAGAGAAAATTCGCAGTTTCGCGTAGAGAATGGCTCAGAGATGACTTCCTCTTTCCTTTGTAACAGGGTCCCTGGCAGTGTTAGGAGTGTGGTGAGATGGTGGGACGCCTCCTCGTTCATTCAGTCCCTGTTTACCTGGTCCGACTCTGTGATGAGCACCAGGTGGATCTGAACGGTGCCAGTGCTCCCAGAGCACCCAGCTCAGTGGGGTGGGCCTCGGAGAAGAAGCCAGCCCTGGGGACCTTGGTGGGTCAGTGGTGTGGGGATAGTTTTGGGGACAAAGAGAGAGGCACCTGTGCCAGTTCTGGGGGTGTACATTACCATCTTCTGCTTGGGAAGGAGATTTGGTGCCTGAGCTGGGTTTACAAGGTGCTCTCAGGACATGGGCTGCACAGCTGGTCACTGTTGGTAGTGTGGTGGGAGAGTGGCATGTGGCCAGGCCAGGCTAGGCGGGACATGAACAGGACAGTCACTGAGACCCAGTTAGGCATGAACTCCAGGACCTCTTTGCAGGGTGATGTTCTTTGCCAGAGACGGTCCAAAGGAAAGAGAAATTGCCGCCAGCGCCTGCTGGTTGGAAACACGGCATTTTCCTCTCGTGACGCCCTGTCATTTCCTTTTGTTCCCAGCCCCCTGACAGCGGGCCGCCCCCGCTGCCGACGTCCTCGCTTCCAGAAGGTTATTATGAGGAGGCCGTGCCACTGAGTCCCGGGAAAGCTCCAGAATACATCACATCAAGTGAGTGATGGGCCTGTGGGTTGTGGGGGAGCCCAGGCTTTTCTGGGCACGAGGGGACAGGGCCTCCCTAGCACTGTGGATGTGCAGGGTAGGTACAGAGAGGGCTCAGAAAAGTCAAAAGTGTCTTCCAAGCCCCTCAGGGAACTCAGGTTGTTGTGACTCAGCAGAGTGAGAGCTCACTGCTGTGGAAACATGATTCCAAGTGAAACCCCTTTCCTGTGGTTAGAAGGGAAAGGACTTTCTGTGGCCTGTCCTTATGGGTGTGCGCCCCCACCCATGAGGGCCTATCCCCATAGCTTGTGTTTACTATGCCATGCTGAGTGTCCACAGGGTTGAGAGTCACTGGGTGCAAATAAACATCTCCATGGAGGCTGCTGTCATTCAGACAGGTTTTCCCAGACATTTCCGCCTGAGTTAGAGCTGTCTTGACACGACTCATTAGCCACCTGCATGGGGACTCTCTGAGGCCCCTCCCTCCTTGTTAGACCCCAGCTTTCACAGATACAGGATGACATGGGGACAGTGACAGTCTTCTCAGCACTGCCTCTGGGATGGGCCCTGCGTCATGGGCATCAATTCTCCTCAATGTTCTGTCAGGTGGTGTGGGGCTGCCTCGTGATGAAACTTAAGGTCTGAGTATGTGTCCACCGAGGGGGTGCAGTGGCTGCTCTTATAATAGGAAGAGCTGCAGCACAGGAATAGGCACAGGTGTATTACCTCCACCAGTGCACCTCTGCAGGTGCACCCACCTTCCGTCTCCCTGTGCACCTCTCATGCAGTCCTGCCCTGTGGTCATCATCTTTGTCACCTGGTCTCTGCTACACAGAGACTGAGTTTGCTGCTCTTCTCCCTAGCAGTAGATAAGCAGAGCCTCACTTGGTTGTTAGAGGATCACCCCCCCATCCAGCCTGTTTTCTGACTGTGAGGAGGAATGGACTGAGCCCAGGCCAGCAGGACAGTAGGCCCCAGAGGGCAAGGGGGCCTTGTCTAGCTCACCAGGCCTGTGTCCTCAGCTCCTGGGAAAGTCCCAACAAGCCCTGAGCCCAGTATCAATAAATATTTGTCAGACCCTGAAGGAGAACAGGGACAGTCTGGCAGGGAGGTTAGGAAACGTCGGTGCTGAGATCTGTAAGTTAAATTCTTCAGCTTCTTTTTCATTTAAGGACTATTTGGGGAAAATTCAAGTAATTTCTGTCTCTGCTGCTTCAGAAGATAGTTAATTAGGAAGCACACACAGAAGTCACGTGGCTTGAAGTAATCCAGAACTACACTGGATTCCTTTCTCTAATAGCAGTGAGTAAACACTTTTGATGAGGGTATTTCCCAGCGTCTGGGACATTATGCTTGACTTCGGGGGCCTTTGGTACCTTTTGGCCTGAGGAGCCCCCCCATCACTGGTGTGTCATGTCCTGTCCTTCAGAGAGGCCATTCCTCAGCTGCTGACTGTTGGATGTCTTTTGTTGAACTAATTCCAGAAGCAGGAGTGACAGGGACTGGTGCTCGGGGAAGAGCAAGGCCCAGTGCTGGCACCCATGCTGCTTTGATCAGATGTCTACTTTTAAATAAACTGCCCCACCCCCAAGAACAATGGCAGAGCCAGCTGCCTGCAGGTCAGGCTGGGTCACACTACCTTCCCTTACTGTGGACTTTGCGACAGCCCTGTTGAACCGTGCATCAGCACCTCATGTGTCATGGAGGAGATGTCTTGTTGTGGGAGAAAGACCGTGTGCCAATGGGGACCCGAGGAGGAGCCCTGTGGCAGGCTGGTGCGTGTCTGGTGGGACCGGCCATGGGAAAGAAAGGCTGGATAAAGCTTAGGGAAGAGGAACAATGGTGTGTGGGTGACCAGCAGTCCCACAGAGCTGCAGCACCTGGCCCGGGACTCAGAGCCTGCGGGAGCTGCAGGCCCAGTGACTGCCCACGCCAACACAGAGGACAGCAGACAGTGACCAGGACGTGTGCTGTGCCACGCCTGGCACCTGTGCGGACCTTCAGAGCGCTGGCAGTGGTCCCTTGCTGCCTTCCAGATGGTGCGCAAATTTCTCCTGCGGCCAGCCCGAACCCAGAATTGTCCAAGAACAGGAATTTGGGGAAATATCCTTCCAGCCTTGCTGAGTTGATACACTAGAAAACCACCACCGTTCATCTTCTGTTAGCCTGGTACCCATGTACCTCTCCTTACCACAGCGAACTTCCCAGTAAAGAACACAGCAAAATCACAGTTCAGCACAGCATCACGCAACCACTGTCTGCATCACGGAAACTCCCTGACTCCCCCCGAGGACAGAGTCCATTCATCTGCTTTGGGGGTATGGCCATTCTCTCCTGGCTGAGTCACACTGTCCCCATCGAGAGCCTGTAACTTAAATGTTGAGAGCCACAGTTAGCTACTCTTAGCACTTATTTTAGATGGTTGGAGGAGGGAGAGGTAAAGAAAAGAATTTGTTTATCATACACAATAACTCACACCTAATTCAGCCTTCACTCCTACCACCAGGCAGCGTCACAGCTGTATGTATGACCCCCTCCACCTCCCCTGTGCAGGTGGCACGGCTCCCGTGCAGCAGCAGCACAGGTGACAGTCTGGGCTGTTCTGTCTCATTCATGCCCACGGTGGCCTGTGACCATGGTCCTCAATGCCCCCTCCCACACTCTTCTTGGTGCAGGCTCGGCATCCTTAGCAACAGTGTTACACAGGCCTAACCCGTCCTTGTCTCTCTGTCACTCCATCTCAGCCCTTTCTCAACACTGTTACCAAAGTCCCCTCTCCAGGCATGAAAACATGTTTAAGTTTCCACTTCGACTTCCAGTCTTTCTTTTCCCCTCTTAGTAATGGCTCTCTGTGAGGGAATTAAGATGCAAGCGTGACTACAGAGTACAAATTAGAGCTCAGTTCTAGTGGGCAGAATGTGAGTTCTGTTCTGTAGAAGGGCTGCCACTTCTGCCACTTTCGCTAAACTGTGCAACCAGTTGCTTCAGCCGAAGTTTCTCCTTATCTGTCACTTGTCATTGCTCAGGTGTTCATTCCTCAAACGTGTTTCAAAAGCAAGTGCCTTCCAGATGCATCCAGGGTGGAGGGGACCCAGAGAGGAATTGGACAGGGCCTCAAGGAGCTTGTGGGCCAGCAGGGCTGACGTTAGTAGTAACACTGACCATCACTGGTGTCTGTTAGTCACTGTCCATGCCAGCATCCCTCCAGGGCTTCGTAGGTGTACTATACGTTCACTTAACAGTTCTTCTTCCTGCAAATACTTGTGTACTCGCCTGTGCCAGGTGCTTTGTACCTGCTGGGACGACCATTTCCAATAAGATCACCCTCCCCTCGGGGGTCTTACGGCCTGATGTGGGAGACAGACAGACAAACAGCAATGACAGTGCCATGGAACAGGCTTCATGTTGGGTGGAAGCAACCAGGAGGGACGTTTCGCCTGGTGTCTTAGCTCGGGCAGCCACAACAAAATACCACAGACTGAGTGACAAAGCAATAGGATTTACGTTCTCACAGTTCTGGAGGCAAGAGTCTGTGACCAGAGTGCAGCATGGTCGGGTCTGGTGAGAGCTGTCCTCCCGGCTTACAGATGCCACCTTCTCCGTGTCCTCACATGGCAAAGAGAGCTCGAGATCTCTCCCTCTTTCCGTCTTAAAAGGGCACCAGTCCTCTCAGAGTAGGACCCACTCACATAACCTCATTCAGCTTTTGTTATCTTCAAAAAGCTCTCTCTCCAAACACAGCCACATGGGGCCGGAGCCTCAGCGCGTGAATGTAAGTGTTAACGTGTTGCAGAATGGGGGTGTGTGAATGCCTTGGAAAGCTCCGAGGGTGACCTGGAGGAGAGGGGTGCCTTGCGCTGGATCTAGAACCTTAGGAAGGGCTTGTGTGCGTGGCGGTGCCCACAGGGAGTAGGACACTGCAGCCCAGAGAGGACTTTAACATGGGGGTGCGGGCATAGGAGCACAGGGACCTTGTGGCGGGGGTCTTGGTGTGGGGCGTACCGCAGAATGGGGGTAATGCTCGCCCAGCAAGGATCCCACAAGCAGGGAGTACTGACAAGTGCCCAGCCAGTACTGAACACCTAGAAATGGTTTCTCTCCATACAGAACTGTTAGCCCCTTTAGTTTAAAACTCTCCATTGTGTTTCGGCTGCCCAAGGCTAGGAGCTGTTTTTTCTTTTTATTAATTAACATTTCCCCAGCACACTGAGTGCAGATGCTGTCCTTGTCGATGGGTAGAATGGCACACCCAAGCCCAGAAAAGGTTTTTGTCAGGAGGCCTTCACCTTTATGTCCATTTCTGACAGATTATGACTCGGACGCGATGAGTAGCTCATACGAATCATATGACGAGGAGGAGGAGGATGGGAAGGGGAAGAAAACTCGGCACCAGTGGCCCTCGGAGGAGGCCTCCATGGACCTGGTGAAGGACGCCAAGATCTGTGCCTTCCTGCTGCGCAAGAAGCGCTTCGGACAGTGGACCAAGTTGCTCTGCGTCATCAAAGACACCAAACTACTGGTAAAACCTTGCAAACGGTTGTTCTCGTGTGTAGGAGGCAGGGTTTTCTCAACAGTCTCACCTTGTGCTTATACCCACAAAGCTAGCATCAGCGAGGGGGCGGGGGCCCACAGACCTCAGCCCTTGTGGAGAACTTGAGGTGTCCCACGCTGGCCCCACAGGCCGAGAGCCGGTGTTGGAGGACGTGGCTATGTCTTTAATGCGGAGGTTCCGCCAGCCCCCTAAAGCAAGCAGAGGGCAGAACCCTCCCCTCCCGGCAGGCAGTGTCTGCGGTTTGTGTCAGTGGGAAGGCATAGAGCTTGACTTGCCAGAAGCTGCAGGATGGATTTTCTCATTTGTAGTGAGTCAGTGGATTCCTCAGAGCCAGGTCAGAAGTGGAGCGGGGCGCCTGCGCTGCTTGTAGGGAGCGTGGCCAGGACAGGAAATTCTTCTGGAAAGCTGAAGACCAGCTTGCTTGCTTTCTTCCTCTCTCTCCCCATCTCTGCTCCCCCCCCCTTTCTTCTCTTTTGTTTTCTTTCTTTTTCTTTCAACTGAGAGGCCGAATAGGAAGCTAAAGTAAGTAGTGGAGAGGCAGGGGCTAGAAACAGGCCCTCTGCTGGAGGTGCTGCTGCAGCAGGGACCCTGCTAGGGAAGCAAGCCCATCTCGAGGACCGTGTGAGGCCCCTCCCTCTCTCCCTTCCCATCCCCACCTTCCTTCCCAGCTTTAGACACCTCAGTGGATTATTAGAATTATGAATTTGTTTTTGCCTTTTGTTTTTCCTTCAAATGAACCTTGAGAAAAAAATCACTCAAAGCCGTGTCATTAAAACAGTACACGAGAAGTGATGTTTTATCTGTATCACTGTTTAGAGGAGCAGGTCACTCTTTTATAGATACACCTGTGGATTATGATAATCTTATTTTACTGGATTCTCAGGACATTGTATATCTGTTAATGAATGGTTTTGTTTATTTTTTTTTTAAACAATGAGAGTACATGATTTTTCCATATGTATAGCCTAAAATCTCCCAAATTTAGAATATGCCAAAAATGACGCCATGGTGGAATTTTACAGTAAAGAAAGGAAAGAAGATGAAAAAGTAACATGGTGCTTTATTAACAGCCGACCGAATGGCTGCAAGATGCGGGCACGCTACATACATGTTTTAAAAACACACTGGTGACTTTTGTGAGAAGCTCTGACACATGGGAGCCTGTTGTGTGCAGGGTCAGCGATCGGGAGGTGCCGCCCTCGCTGTGCCCCTCTACTCCGCCTGTCTCCACTCCTTCCCCTCTTTCTTCATTTCCTCTATCTCCTGCCCAAAGTCCCATCCTCAAACCAGAATGTTAATACCTACCACTGAGAGGAGCAGTAAATACTTCAGAGGAAATTAATGGAAAACCCTGTGAAAGCACTGTCTTTGATAAAGTGCAGAGTCAAAGTTAGTTATTTTTATTATGAAGGGTTTTTTGGTTCAAAAATGGCCCATGATCCAACTGCCCAGATGACCCCTGTTGACACTGAAGAAAAGATTAGCAGTGACAATAAAAGCAAATGCTCTCCAAGTTTAAACAGCACAGAAACTGTAAATGGAAAACAGAAAGCTGATCTCTTGCTTTAAATGTTCCAGTCTGTCTTCCCTCAGGCACACCATTACCAGCTTCTTGTATACCCTTCCAGAACCTTCCAGAACCTGTTCCCCTTGGCATCCAGGCAACTCTCTGGTGGACACTGGATGTGCCCAGAGCCCCTTCAGGCCTCAAGGACCTGCTCCCTCTCTTGCCGGGAGGGATCCTGGCAGACAGCTCATCCAAGGTCATGCTCCCTTCCCAGTGGCTCTGATCCAGTGCAATCAATGCCATGCTGTGAAGGCCCAGTGTCGTGGGGCAGCTCGTGGCACATTCCAGTGCCAGAGCCCTGTGGGGTGCCCACAGGCCTTTCAGTGAACCACGTGGCAGCTTCCCCACCGGTCCTACTTCCTGCCCTCTCTCCTACAGGTGTTGCTCTTAAGGGCACCTGAGTAAATGTCCTGCTGCTGCCTTGCTTCAGGGCCAGCTGCCCTGGGAGTCCCACTATAACCACTTCCCAGTGGCAGTTTATCAGATCACTGATGACATAGTCATTTTGAGGCGTTTGGCTTAAGAAAAAATATAAGCTATAAAGTTTCTTTTCTGTATTGTTAGTTTACTTTTCACTTAGAATGTGGAAACAGGGCAACCATCAGTTGTAATTTTTAAAAAGTGGATGTATTCCATCCATGTGTCATTCAAGAGCCATGGTTTTGGAACTGTAAATAATTATTTCTGAAAAATAGGTATCTATCCATCCCTTCATCAGTAGATGGCTTAGCATCAGGAGTGTGGGACTCATCTGGGTTGGGACTAGAGTCTTGGGTCTGCCATTTGTTTAGTTGCCTGACTTTGGCAAGTTACTTAACCAAAGTTACTGGTTACTTACTAAGTTTCTGAACCAAGTTCCTAAACCAAGTTCCTGAACTAAGTTAACTTAATCTGCAAAGCAGGAATCTGTGAGGTTGAGCTGCAGGAAATGCCTCATATCAGGACAACACTCGGTATTCATAGTAGATGTTATTGTTATGAATAATTTAATATAACTGAAGTAAGTACTAGTAACTCCTTTACAAATGAGGAAATAGGCTCAGACAGTTCAACAAACTTCCCAGAACCCAGGTTGCAGTAGTAACAGAGCTGGGACCCATATATCTGACCTTCATGGGCACATGTATTTCCATGAAGGAGGTGTGCTCTCTGTCCCCAGGATTACAGTTAAACCATAGGGCGCGGGACACATCTGGACAGAGACTTGACTCCAGGTTTTACAAACCTAGAATGACAGGAGCTAGGTCTGCTTTAACCCCAGCAGTGAAATCTGTAGAGTAAATGTAGTTGTGTAAATGGAGCAGAATGAGTTTGGGATCCTCTTAACTGGAAGGGAAACCTTGCAGACACTGTTGTATATTATGTGCTGATATTTATACTCTTACAGATGAAATAATTCATCTGCCCTTCAGAAGAGGGAAGAGAAGAGATGGGCAGATACCAATGAATAAAGTATCCAGGGCCATGTTATTTCAGCAAGTCTAATGAGTCATATTCATGTAACCTGCTGAGAAAGCTCCACGAGCACATCAGCCCAGTCAGCATAGGGCCTTCCCTTTCCCACTGGGTCATGTCATCAGTGGTTGGTAGACTTTCCTGAGTTGCTGAGCAGATGTATTTACATGTGCACGGAGATGAGCCTGGGTATGGAGCGGTGGTGAAGGTGGAGAGCCTGCAGGTCCATTTTCCAGTTGCCAAGCATCCCTACCATTCGGTCAGACCTCCAGATGCCGCGCCCACACTCCATTTTCATTATGCCCACATTTTATCAGTGCTCCTGCCTGCGCTCCCGCATGACCTGACTTTTCTTTCTCTTTTTGAATGCAGTGCTATAAAAGTTCCAAGGACCAGCAGCCACAGATGGAACTGCCTCTCCCAGGCTGCAACATCACGTATATCCCTAAAGATGGCAAAAAGAAGAAGCATGAGTTGAAAATCACCCAGCAGGGCACAGACCCTCTTGTCCTTGCCGTGCAGAGCAAGGAGCAGGCCGAGCAGTGGCTGAAGGTATGTGGCCGGTGTGGTTTCTGAGCTGTTTTGTTGCCAGCTGCTCTGAGATCTGTTTTTATTTTAACTTGTGTGTTTTTTCAAGCGTACACAAACATAGGTTAACCTGAATAGTCTGGTCTTTGATGGTGGGTTATTCTGATTACTTTCAGGTTAATCACTTTAACGCATGTATTCAAAGGCATTCTGGCCCCATTTGCAGGCTGCTTCTAGCACTTTCTTACTTTGGTTTTCTTATTTCACTTTATTGTGTCTGGATACAGATTCTTTTTTATTTATTCTGCCTGGGATTCTTCAGGCTTCTGAAATCTGTGGTTGTCATCTTTCTAAGTTTCAGAAAATGTTTCAGCCATTTCTCTTAAAATACAACTTTGCCCCATTCTTTCCCTCCCCCGACTACATTTAAATATGCGTTAGAGTTTTTCACTATATTCTACTACTCCTCTTTGTATCTACTATCCCCCTTTAAAAAAAAAAAAATTTAGTCTGGTTAATTTTTCCTCATTACTTTCCAGCTCACTATTTCTCTTTTTTACTGTGTCTAATTTGCTATTAAATTTGTTCCTGTTCAGTGTGTTCTTAATTTCAGTTATGGTAATTTTTAATTCTAGAATTCCCAGTTGTTTTTTGCAGAAATGTTTGCTTGGCCTTTTATCTCCATAACAAGCACATCCCAGGCATGGTTTTTTCAAATGCGGTTTTGGTGGAATTTAGTGGGTCTGTTCCTTTATCTGCTGCTGTGCTTGTTCTTGTTTATGTCAGTCTGTCTGCGTGTGCCAGGTTATCTGATGATCATGCTGGTCACTGTATTTGGGAAAAAAATTATTTCAATACTTTTTTTATAGCAGCTTTATTGAGGTATAATTCACATACCATGCAATTTACCCTGTTAAAGTTATGACTCATTGGTTTTTAGTATATTTACAGAGTTGTGCAACCATCACCATTAATCTAATTTCAGGACATTTCATCACCCCAAAGAGAAAATCCGTACTTACTATGGTAATAGTCACTACTCCACCCATCCCTACCCCAGCCCCAGGCGACCACTTGTCTGCTTCCTGTCCTTATAGATTTGCCTGTTCTCATTTCATATAAATGTATTCATGCACCATGTGTCCTTCTGTGACTGGCTCTTTTCACTTAGCATGATGTTTTCAAGGTTCATTTGTATTGTCATATGTATCAGTATTTCATTCCTCTATATTGCTATTTATGTCATAGCTAAGAAGCTTAGGTTGTTTAATCCAAGGTCCTGAAGATTCCTACCTGTTTCCTTCTAATAGCTTTATATAGTGTTAGCTGTTAAATTTAGTCTGTGATCCTTTTTTTATTAATATAAACTGCTATTGCCCCATATTGTCACAAACTTATTTTCTAGGCTTTCCATGTTTTGAAATGCGACGTTAATGTAACAATTCAGTATCTTTTGATTAAGATGCACATCCTTTGTCAGTGTGAGAGCATGAGGTCTGTATAGCCAGGACATGACTCGACACACCCTTCTTCAGAATCGTGCCAGGTTTGTTTCTCTCTGTTTGGTCTGCAACTTCCATTACCAGCAGCTCTTGCCAGAATTAACTGACTGTGTGAGTGTGTGTATGTGTGCAGATGCCAAAAACATGAGCCATTTCGTAGGGGTCAGTCAGAAGACAAGAGCCGGCATTCCCAGAAGCGTAGTGGTCAGGTTTCCTTAAAAATGTGCAGAGGTTGTGTTTCTGGAGATGAGGGCTCAAGTTAAACACACACAAAAATACCACAGAACATATAACAATTTGTTTTTTGAAGGATTTGTGATTCTGAATTTGGATTCAGTTCTCTTAAATACACATTGAACTTCTTACAGAACATGGCTCTTTAAAGTAAAATCAGTAATACAGAAACCTCTTCTGTAGCTGTTCAGAGCAATTGGTGATAGACCTTTATTGCTTCTTAATGAACTCCGCAGGGAGTTCTTTTCCCATAGAGTATTTTGAGCCCAGTTTGCTTCTTTGTCCCCTCCTTTTTTTTTTCTTTAATCAAAGTCTCTTTAGTTGCTGTCACGAGCTAGGCATTGGGCATACTGGCATAAGCCCTTTTATGAAAGTGAGCACAGCTTTGTAGCAGGAGCAGACCTGTAAATAGGCGATGCACATGGGGCCAGCGTCCAACAGAGGGATGCATGGCTGGCCCTGGCACGTAGAGGGGCAGCCAGACTGTATTCCCACGTAGGAGGGCAGAGCAGGCTTCCCAATCACGTGAAACCTAAGCCAAGTCTGGAAGGATGAGTCTGTTTAGCTAAGAGAAGAAGCATCCTTCCCCTGCAGTCACCACTCACACTACCACACCCAGGAAGGAGGCTGGCAGGAGTAATTGGAGCAGTGCGGCCAGAGGGCTATGTGGACTCTTCCCTAAAAGACAGAGACAGAGACAGAGCTGTTTCTTGAGTGGCAGCTTTGCCAGACAGGTCTCTACAGGCTGTGTTTGTGGGGTTGGCCTGTTCCTGCAAAACAGCTTGTGAACTTCAGGTTTGTTTATATAACTAAACATTGTCATTTAATGCTGTGATCCCAGGAAAGAGCTCAGGTTCTGGGAGGAGGACTGGCTGGGCACTGCAGCGCTTTGTGTCACAGTGACCCCAGGCGTGTCTGCATTTGCTGGGGGAGGGAGGTAAGGGCCAAAATCTAGAGGGCTCAGCCTCACCTCTGGAGGAGACAGTAGAGTTGGGGCTTGAACCCCAGTTTCTGTCTGACACAAATGCCTGGGAGTCCCCATTGTGCTATATTCTTTCCCTAGAGCAGCAGTTTTCAACCCCAGCTCTTTAGTCAGGCACACTGACCCCTTTCCCTTAGACTGTCGAATAAAAAAATGACAGCAGCCAACACAACAATAGCTGTCTGGTGTGAGTGAATCAAAATTATATCTAATTTTTTTGTCAGATTGGCAAAAAATATATTTTTTGGTGTGCTGCAGAATTTTAGTAATTTTTGCATTTCATGAGATGAAGAAGGTTGAAAACTGCTGCCCTAGGGAAAAGACAAAATCTTGTTTTTAGATCAAATAAAAACTTGCCTTCTGAACTAAAGATTTGATGAACATATTGGGGCTGCGAGGGAATCAAAACCTACCAGAAAAAGTAGTGAAATTTTTAGGAAACAGAGAGACCCCCCTGTTTTCCCCTTCGAGACATTTAGAAGGCACAGCTCCCGGGTTGATGTCACACATCAGCATCAGCAAGGACGCAAACATGGCAGCAAGCTCTCTGGGTTTTTTCTTTTTCTTTTTCCCTGTTTTGGTCTCAGATGTGGACTTCACTTTGTTTTTTTCATAGAACAGCTGAGCAGCAAAATGGCTGGAAGCACTGTCCTCGCCTGGGAGTCCCTGGCTGCAGTCCCAGCCCCAGGGAGGCCCAGCGCGCTCGGATGTGCTGCTGAGATCATACTGCAAAGCTGCTACACAGATATCTGGACTTGGGCGTTTCTTTTCTGTCCAGAGGCACTTGGGTTGAACTCAGATTGCAGCTTAGTTCCAAAAAGAACAGAAGACATTTTGGAAGATTTGCCTGCTAACTTTCCTGTGGGAAGAGTGTGAGCTCTGCTGACCTGGGAACCGTGTCTTTCCGATTACTGCATAGCCCCCCATGAGAGCCACGTCCAGCTCACATGGATGCTCAGTAATGGTGGAGGGGACCATGGTGACCCTAGGAGTGGCTGTGAACTCCAGTAGCACCCGCCGCCGAGCCCACTCTGTACGTCCAGGTCAGGACCATTTTCCGAGCCCTCCACACGTATCACTGGCTCGCACGGGACCATGGCGATGATGACAGCAGCCCCCATGTTTGAATGTGCACATCCCAAATGCTGGCTCAGGCTTTAGCACATAGGGTCTCATTTTCTCTGAGTTAAACCAGAGTTAAATAGCAAGATGGGTCATCCTGACCCTCCTTCCTTTGCTAGTGAGGAAACTGAGGCTCAGAGAGGTTAGGACTTTAGGCCAGTAACTGATGTTCCTGCCTCACAAGTCACTGAGGAAACAACCTCTCCAACAGGGGCGCTCTCGGACTCCCAGCACCCAGTGTTCTAGCCTCGCATCCTCCCTGCCTCTCGATGCCATTCCGCCCTCCCAGCTCATCGTGTTGTACTCATTCCCTCCCTAGGAATCCCCTCCAGTCCCCTCCACCTGCCTCCCTTACAGAGAAACTCCTGGGAGGTCCCTCTGCTGGGCTCTCTCCTAGCTCTCTCCCTCCCCGTCCCTGCTCTTAGGAGGCACACTCTCCAGGTTGGCCCAGCCCAGAGCCGACTTCCACCAGTCTCCCTCCTCTGGCTCTGCCTCACCTGCTGACTGCCTCGGGTCTTTCTCCTGGGTACTTGGTCTGCTTGGTCTCACCCTCCCATCCAGGCTGTGAGCATCAGCCTTTTGCCACCAACTGCCTGGTTTATTTCTAGCTCTGACTGGAAATTTGCTTTTGCCTCCAAACATACCCACCTGCTTCCCTCCCACCCACCTATTTCTGTCTCCTCCAGCTGAGTATGTGGTGTGAGTACAGGCACTGTCTTGGACTTGGCCCCTTCCTTTATGCCCCACATCTAATCCATCAGCAGGGCCTGTTGAGTCTTCCTCCGGAACACATCCTGAATCCCTTCCCGTCTCTCCATCGCCTTCACTCATTTTCCTGTACCTTTTTTTCCCTGGCATCTGAATTGTTCTTTCTTCCCACAACAGTACTCTACCACCTCATAATAGTTGAAAGTTCATTATGGTTTAGGCACTGTCTTACGGCATTTATTTAATTTTTGGAAGGTAGGACTGTCGCGTCTGCATTCTTTAGATGGGGAAACTGACCCACAGAGCAGATAATTAATTTGTGCCTGGTGGAAGCCAGGAAGAACCCAGGCACTAGGGCTCTGGAACCCCCTCCTGACCTCTGTGCTGTGTTCCTTCCCAGAAATGATTCCACTCCTCCTGTCTTTGAGGTGCTCCAGGCTTCCTCCTGCACTCATATAAACTGTCTCCTCCTGGCATCTCCAATGCCACCTGTGCCACACAGCTCTCTGGATATCTCTGAACACCCACCACAGGCCTCTGTACCTGCTGTTCCCACTGCCTAGAACCCTTTCCTCTAGTTCTTCATGTGCCAGATCCACTGGCCATCAGCTTGCGGCTTATATGCCACCCCAGCAAGGCCTGTCTTTTACCTCTTGCTCTAAGTCAGCCACGCCTATGTGTTAAAGGCCCCTTTGTTCTTTGCAGTACTTATTACTGTCTTACATTATGTACCTGCCTTTCCTGGTGATGCTCATTGTTCATCCTAATCTTCCTGCAACAGAAGCCCCATGAGAGCAGGACCCCCACATATTTGTTCCTGTGGACCCATGTCGCGTATCCCAGGACCTGTGTCAGCAGGAGGAGTGGACAGACAGTCGGTGAATGGATGACTGAATGAACAAATGTGGCCTGGAACTTAAAGCTGTGACCCGCAGGTTTCCTGCCACACCACATGCCTCTGTTCATCTCAGGCTTCTGCCCCTCTTGTAATCATCTCTGTCTTTGGGTACATTCAGCAATGTCAACACTCATTACAGGTGATCAAAGAAGTCTACAGCGGCTGCAGCGGGCCCGTGGATGCAGAGTGCCCCCCGCCCTCAAGTTCCCCGGTGCACAAGACAGAGCTGGAGAAGGTAAGGGGCTTGCTTTTCCTAGGAGTAGCACCTTACAGAGAATTCAGGCCTCCCTCAAAGTTTCATTGTGTTCTCTGGGATTTCAGCACTGCTAGCTGAAAAGGACCGAAAAATACTGCAATCCTGCTTGTATGCATCTCAGGTGCCCACTCTGTGCAGAGCTTGGGTTGGCCATTTTACAGACTGTGTGGCTGGTCTTATTATTCCCAGCTATAGATAAAGAAATGGATTAAAGGTGTTAAGGGCCTTGTTCAAGGTCACCCAGCTATTGCACAGCAGAGTGAAACCTGAATTCAGGTCTGTGTCCTTCCGGAATATAGCAGGTGCTGTATGAGTGCACCTCCGCAGAGGTTTCTTCCAACAGAACCGGCTGCGTTTCCTGCCCCCTGTGCTGGTCTCGTTTTCCTTGTAGGCAGCAGGGGGGCCAGGGCTTGCCCTTGTCACAAACATATATGCCGATCCCTGTCATGTCACAAGCCCAGCTCTCTCTGTCCCTACACAGATCTTGTTTCCATAGAGATCCTGGCTTCCTGCCATGCAGTGTCCTGTGGGTAGCTGTGTCCAGGGAACTCTCCCAGTCCTCCCTGTTCAGCCCCTGCCAGGAAACAGATCCTCTTTGTCCATTCTTGTTTTAGTCAAGGTTCTTCAGAGAAACAGCCAACAGGGTGTATGTGCATGTGTGTGTATGTATTTATGTATATGTATATGTGTGTGTGTTTATGTATGATTTATACAAGGAATTCTTTATGTATAAGTTTTACCATAAGGAATTGGCTCATGTGATTATGGAGGATGGCAAGTTCAAAACCTGCTGTGTAAGCCAGCCTATGAGTCTGAAGGCTGTCTGCAGGAGAATTCTCCATTGCTCTGGAGGCTGGCCTTTTAGTGCTATTCAGGCCTTCAGCTGATTGGGTGAGGCCCACCACACTGGGGAGCACAGTCACTTTACTGAGAGTTCACTGATATAAATGTTAGTCTCATCCACAAACACCCTCCAAGTTGACACACAAAATTAACCTCATGACCCTCAACCTAATATGCAGGCCTGTTTCTTTCTTTTTCTTTTTTTCCTGATTACAAAGTAATACCTCCTTGCTAAAGAAAATTCAAAAAGTTTAGAGAAATACAAATAGGAGGAATAAAGTCATCCATGAACCCACCACATAGAGGATGCAGCTCCTCTCCACACTGTATTTTTAACCAGTTTTCCCCATTCATGTGTTTCTTTTATAGTTTGGATAATCTGATGTATAAAAGTTTTATGCTGCCTATTTTTCCACTTACCTTTATATTATTACCAATTTTCCAGGCTTTTGAAAATTAATAACAAGCAACAAGTGTTTCTGCATTTTTAGTAGCTGAGTAATTTGAAATTCATATGACTTTACTATCATATTACTCCTTCCCGCCCCAAATTTAGCTCTTTTGTTTTTTGGCCATTTAAAATAACCTGACATCTTTTTGTAAGCCTTTGCTGCTTCTTTGTTACCTGAAAATAGACTCCTAGAAGCTAGATTACCAGACCAGAGGGTAGAATTGTTTTTTCAGATTTGAACCATGTTGCTAAGCATATGGCTTTCCAAAAAGACTTGTTTGATTTTACTTCCCATCAGCCAGGGCATCAGAGTTTCTCTCTCACCCACTCGTGCAGCACCTGGCAGCGCCCTTTACTTAGCGTGGTTTCTGAGGCTGTGCTGTGCCTGGCAGACCTGTTGACCTGGTTCTCAGGAGTATAGGCGTTCTTCTTGGCCTGAGGGCTGGGCAATACCAGCTCTCAGTCGTTCTGTCACTAGAGCTCAGCACATACCAGGTTCCCACAGAATACCACTGATTCCTTCACTGCGGCTATTCCCAGCACTGCTGTGCAACGCAGACCCCTTTCTGCCATTCTAGGCCAGCACAGCTCAGCCCTCTCCCTGAGTGATCGTGTGTGCTGCCCCATGCCCCAGCACTTACCTCATGGCTGGCCAGGCTCTGGGGCTTTGGGGGATAATGCGGAAGACCTGGGGCGGGCGGCAAAGGTTGGAGCCTGTGCCCTCCACTGTGACTCCACAGGTTCTCTGGTTGGATGGAAGGATTCCAGCTCTAAACAATGTTTCTTCTTTTTGTGTGTTAATTTTTATTGAACTTATTGGGGTGACGTCGGTTAATAATTATATAGGTTTCAGGTGTACAGCTCTATAACACATTATCTGTACACTATATCATGTGTTCAGCACCCAAAGTCAAGTCCCTTTACATTCTTCTACCTCCCCCAACGATGTCGCTTCTTCAGATACCAACCTAGAGTCCTGTTATGCTCCTGAGATCAGGTGTCAGGACTGGCGTGACTGCAAGCACTCTAGTGCCCTTCAACAGTTTCATAGCAGCTGGACTCTGTGCATATCTGAGCGCATTTGTTAAAAGCAGCTGCTTGACATGTGCTCAGTATTCATGGAAGGAAATTAAACGGGTAATGTGGTATTTATTTCTAGAAGCATAATGGTTTGATGAGATTTTTTTGTAATCGTAATATTTTTTCAAAGTTATTTGTGAGAAAAAGTGAGTTGAATGAAATGGTCATGATACTGTAGGACGTGTTGGTTAACCTCAGTGGGTTTTTTCTTTGTTCGTTGGATGTTTTTCAGGCCCTTGAAAATAAGCCCCCCAGCTAGCCTGTGTTGTCGCTGAGACCTAGATTGTAGTGAATTTACCCACATTTTCTTCCAGCTTCAAGATAACTTTTGATTGACCTATGATATATCACTTGGCCAGTGTGACCGTTGTGAGAATAACTTAATCCGTTTTGTCCTTACAGAAACTGTCCTCTGAGAGACCAAGCTCCGATGGGGAGGGCATCACAGAAAATGGAGTCGCTGTGTGTAATGGGAAGGAGCAAGGTGAGTCCTGCTCATGCCAGAAACAAACTCAAAACAGAAACAACCCAAAACTGCAGCCAGTTCTGTCCGCTCTGGTTATGTGTGAATCTCCTTGGTGATTCGGTTATGCATCTGTCATTCTCCTGTGTCGCCAGAGATCCAGAGAAAGCCCCTTCGTTAATAGTAGCCCTGAATCTTCATTGCTATCCTGCGGCCTTGATATTACAAGGCTCACACCCAAGGTCATGGCCCCTGCTTTGTCCATGTGATTTTCCTCTCAGTCGGGTCTGAGTGTAATTGTCGTCCTCTCCATCAGTACTCAGTGGAAGGCATTATCTGTTGTCCACAGGGCACAGTATGTGTAATCACATCCAGGAAAGCTGTCTTTGAGGTTTCTCCTGGAGTAGACCAACATGCAATCTCAGGTTCCTGCCTGGTGCCGAGGCACAGCAGATGCCGCTGTGGTTGGTCTCTTGTTCATGGTTTCTTCTCCCAGGGGCCCTGCAAGATAGGTTCTGCAGGATGGATGTGTATTGCGATGTACATGGGAGTGAATATATCCATATCTCTCATTCTCCTGTGGTTTTTTTAAAGAAGAGCAGCCTTCTATACTTTGTAAAGATGACCTTGGTCCAAATACTTTTTTGCCTGGCATGATGCTTTGTATAGTAGCCACTCAATGAGTAGTTCCTGGAGGAAGTTAACAGTTAAACTACATTCTGACCTTCTCTCCTACCTTTCATCTGTGTCTCACTCTGGACAACTTGCAGCTGAGGGTTTTCAGTAATGGTCCCTTTGTCCCAGCCGTGTTGTGACTCAGACAGACTGCTGGCTGCAGAGAAAATCCTAAACGCAGACAGCAGCTCTAAATGGTATCCTCTCCACTGGACATGGAAACAGTCCACACCCCATGTGGTCAAACTCACAGGGAGTGCCTCTGAGACTCCGGTTTGTGCTTTCAAGGTGAATTATATGCCCCCTTATGTAATATGCCAGTGCACCGTGATCTTGGGTGAATTAGTAAATATCTAACTGATGCCGCCACTGCTAGGAGTACAGGGAACTGAGGTCTTGGCTCCAGTCCAAATGGAAGCTTCGATGGTCCCCAGTGCGAGCACTGCACACGGTTAAGATTCAATCACGTGAAAAAAAAAAAAAGATTTAATCACGTGTTAAAACTGTTGGTGACTTATCGAATTAGTATTCCGTTATTAACCACGTCCCCAGAGGCTGGCATACAGCCAGTACTCAATAAGTAAAATGGGGGGGAAAGACAACTGGCTATGACTTAGCTTTAGTTTAATGTTTTTCTAACTTAAGATCTATAATTGACATGCTTTACTGTTGTCGTTATTCTTGACAGTTAAGAGGAAAAAAAGTTCCAAATCAGAGGGCAAGGGAACCGTATCTAAAGTCACTGGGAAAAAGATCACCAAGATCATTGGTTTGGGAAAGAAAAAGCCATCGACTGATGAGCAGACCTCTTCGGCTGAGGAAGACGTGCCCACCTGCGGTAAGACAGCTCCCCACCATGCGCCACGCGAGCCTTCCCTCCTGCAGCTGCCCTGTGTCACGTCCCTCTCGGGCTCTTTCATTCGCACCTTTCTGAGTCAGGCTGATGATCATATGAATTGGAAATGTTTTACATTTTTACCGCTTATTAATAAAAGACTTTGCAGGGGTTTGAGGTGATCTCTGCCTTTGGAGCATCATGAAGCACAGCCGTGTGTGTGTGTGGGGGGGGGGGCACA